GCAAGAAGATGTTATTGTCCTGGGAAAACATAAGCCGACTAGTAATATGACTCCGAGACTCTGGAATATCCTCAGTGCCCCATTCACCTTATAGTGAAAAAAGGTGAAAAGATAAAAGAAAAATAAAAAAGTAGAAGTACATGCGAATAAAAAGTGGATTTCGTTGTTGTGGAGACTTTCATTTCTTATTAAAGTGCATAATTAAGAGTCGATTTCACCATAACTCGACAGCTGAAAGTCTCCACAACAATAGTGGAAGTAGTATGCGATCATTATCAATTTATTGGATGGAGGAAGAATTTAGCAGTGGACCGAAACTTATCTATTCGCAAAGGTCCAATATTTTTTTAACAAGTGGTAATGGTGATTCGTATTAAACTTAAAAAGTGGTTATTTTAGGAATTCAAAACATGTTGAATGCATATTAGGTTAAGTGAAGTAAGAGCAATATGTATAATCCAAAGAAAAAGAAAATATTCGGTTTTAAAAAAAGGAAAACTGACCTCCTAGCTGTTCAAGAGGTGGATTTGAGAACCAGCCAAGAGAATGAAGGAAGTCCAAACTGAAAATGCTACCCAAGTTAAACCAAAAACTAGATTGCTTTTGTCCCTCAGTCCGCAAATCGGCGGACGGAAAGCTTCCTGTAGCAGGCAAATTGGATGACCACACTGAGCCAATCTCCGAATATGCCGCCGATCCAGGATAGGTGCGTCCGGTATTCAAAGCCATTTGATGATCGTTAGAGGCGAAATCTAAGCCATAAGAAGACAAAGTGTAAGGGGAAATAGAAGGATATGGTGTAGGAAAAGCGATCAGGCTGAGCGAGAGGAAGCCGAACAAAGCCAGCAAGCTAGTTGTAGTAGCAGCAACGCGCTGGCGAATCACTACGAGGCTAGAAGAAGGCACCAGATGGCGAAAAGGGGTCTGTGGGAAAGCGATTCTAGGCGAAGAGATAAATGATGACGATGCAGAAAGGGAACCGGGAACGATGCTCGTAGTATCTGCACCCGTCTTGACTGCAGGCGAAGTCTTTCGGGAGTGATGCGGAAATCGTTGCACCAGGATATCAGAGGTAGGATGTGCTGAATAACAGAATAGTTAAAATAAAAGGCAGGGTCCTGCTGAGTTGACATGCTCTGATATTTTGTCATCAGGATAAAAGGTATATGAGCACCAAGACAGGATCCTCCGTCTCAGTGGG